CAAGCAACACCGACCCCTGCCGCCTGTGAACGCTAATTAACACAACTACTTCAGCCAAGGATCATCCTCAACAACCGCCAGTCCAAGGAGCGTTTCAAGTCGTCCAAGCTTCGCCCCATTAGTCCAAGCTGGTCAGGAGTTCTTATGTAATTCTATAGTATCCCCATTAATCCACGTTGGTGATGGGTTCTGTCCAAGGTATAATAATCCGAACACTAGTTCAATAAAAGGGACTACATTTAAAGAAAAAATGTAGAATTTGGCTCCCCGGGCTCTTTCAATTAGGTGGAATTTCGCATGGGGAAAAGGGACTACATTCAAAGATTTTGGGGGGGAACGTATCCCGATAGTAGAGTCAGGCAAGTAGTGCAAATTACTTCTTAGACAATGATATTTAAACTGACCCAAGAATGCTTTTCTTTTGGTTTTAATCGAGATTCAATACATTGCTATTCTTTTCTAATAGAGGTCCAAGAGCCCCAATACCCGAAGAATGATTTTCTTTGAATCCGTCGCTCCTCATTCCTTATTCTGGCCGGGAGGGGTCCCCCCAAATTGAACAAGTGCTCAGATTAGGGATTACTGGTTTATGTTCGAGTGCATACGGGCACTGGTGCATCCATGCCCGACCTACACCCACCCATACCACCCAAAGCTGCTTCAAAGCAGGCGTTCAAAAAGAACAACTGATTTTTGGAAGGCAAGAAGAAAAGCGGTTTTCCACGACAGGTTGTCACGGGTTTCGTGCAGGTTTGTATGGGTTCAAACGTGTTTATTATGGGCTGTGGAAGGGCTGGAAAGGTTTTCTTGGCAGAAACCAATTTTCTGCAACAAATGCTTTAAATCCCGGCTCCTTCAGAGTTACCCGCTTTAGGGCGGGTTCCGGAAGCCCCAAGAAATGAAATAACGTTCAAGCTCCAGCGAACACATGTCGCTAGCTTTACGCCACGTTTTCCGTTTTCACAGACAGGGTCAGGTGCCCTGAGTGCTCAAACCACTGCCAGAAATCGGATGAAATCACGGATTCGTATCTTCGCACTTCTGCAAACCGAGAAATCCGAAAGCCGCATCCGACATATCCGACCTCCAAAAAATACGCCAACCGACCGGCGCTCAAAACACTGGCAAGCGTGCAACGAAACGCAGATTTCACGCAAAAAACACGATCCAAAATGCAAAAGTAAGCGCCTTTCAACAACAAGTGTTGTTGCTCGAACGCTGGTAGGCCTGGGGCTAAGTCCACATCAAATGCGATTTTCGCCTAAAGCAGCTGCAAAGTATTGTTCTTGAGGTGCTTCGGCACAAGGCTGCAGTTGGAGTGCTCATAGGCAGGACAGGTTGCGTGTCTGGTTTTAGATTCTAGTGCCTGGAATGTTCACATTGGGTGGGTGGCAAGCACGCATCAACATTACGCTTTGGTGTTTGACGCAACTTGGACAGCAAGCTGATGTGGTCTGACAGTGGTCTGATGTGGTCTGGATTGCAAGTGCCTGCATCTGGGAGCCTGGCGGGCCCGGCGGGCGATGCGGGCGGAGCCGGGACCGGTGGCGGCCAGGTGCTTGGCCTCGCCACAAGGCCAGAGACGCTTTGAAAATGCAAAATGCCACCCTTCTCGGGGAGCTAAGGCACTCTGCGACTTGACGGTGGGCATGCTCAACAAGGCTAATACCTCCACCCCAAGCACATAACATCACGTAACCCTTTTGTATGATGACAGGTCGCACTGTTGCCATCTGTTGGCCGAGTAGCAATTGAAAACTAATGGCCTTTCGGCCCCGGGGAAGATATTCACAGATTGGTTTGCTCTGATCCTTGGGATGGGGAGAGCAGCACTGACCAAAAACACTAAAAACAGAGTGAAGTTGCTGCTGACAGGTCACCAGTCCATGATGGGACTTGGTTCACGCATACACTGCCGCATGCCAGTCTGCCCTTGAAGGGGCGGGATGTGGCGTCTGCAGTCTGCAGGCAGCAGTCTTGAGCCAAGGGCCTCTGAGCAAAACCAAGGAGCACAGGTCACGTTCGCGTCCCAATCCGCTTTGTTGAGAGGCCATGAAACCCCATAAAGCACACGCGCTTCGAATCTCACCAGCCTTCACCGTGCCGTCTCTGAAAAAAAACCTCGGTTGGCAAGTGTATTGCACCCTTTGATGCAATTGCTGGAGGAGGAAAACAGGTCAGGAACTTCAGGTACGGAACGAACACCCTGCCCGAGAGCTCGAGTAAACAAAAAATGTGTAGGCTGGCCAACAGGGTGTGAGCAATAGTAGGAAAGCAGAGCCACCTTGTGGTATTGAAGATGAGGCGACAAGTACCAAAATTGCAAGCGGATCAACGTTTCTGTCACAAGCATGCCGCCAAAAGCCTGATTCAACAGCAGCCCAGAGTTTGCTGCATGCCATGCTGTAGAAGACTGTCAGGATAATGTCCGAGGAGCTGGATCATCTCAATTTTGTGCTGGCTGACACTGGCTGTAAGCCTGACGTGGGGCTGCGCAGCCATGATTTTCAAAGGCACACACTTTTGCGTTCTACGCAGCTGTCTACCTTGTCAACACAGGACGTCGGCAGGATGTCACCTGAGCGCGTCAGTAAGCTGCAGTTCCTGGAAGCATCTGGAAGTTATGCAGAAACAGACTAAGAGACACGCAGAGCCAGCGTCCTTGGGCGGATATGAGTGCTAGCTAGGCTATGCGGTGATGGTGGCTTGTTGTGACATGGCCTCCGGCAGCTCTTTGAGAGGCTTTCCCAGTGCCAACTGAACCTGCCAAGAAGTATAAGTCAACAAGCTGGCATGCCGGGTAAACTTCTCGACTGTGCATTCCAAAGCCTGAGGGCTCAGGCACCGTGACACTTTCGCTTTGATCTCTGCTGCAGCCTGGGTGATGCAAGCATCCGCAAACCACCGTATCAGACCAATGGGGACAAGCGAACACAATGACTTATTCAGAGGTCTCATCAAACGTAGATGATCCGCGCAAGATCGCCCGCACTGTTTTCTTCTAGCTTGTTCTGAAGACTTAGGCCTGGTGAACTGGCTCGCGGACGCTGGACCCTGATCGAGCCTGGACACACACGAATATTCGTCATAGTAATCGCCACATATCGCAACTGTTAGCTAGGAAGTGCCAACTCTGGTCAAGCTTTTCCTCCACAGTTCAGAATATTCTCACAAAGACCAACATCACGGTTTCGAACATTTGGAGACGGCTCTGGTCAAGCTGATTTGAGGCTCAAATCAAATTTAATCGTGACCTTGGGTGTCATCGTTTTCGTCACCTAAACTGTTGAGATCTGGTAGGCATCAAAGCGCCTACAGACACATGATCAGCCGAGCGCATGAATGTTTTTGGGGTTGTAAAGGGAATGATGCCTCATGTCAGGATGGCCTCGACACTGCCCGGACAGAATTTCAACCCTGCCGGTGAGTTTGATCTCTGCTGCTTGTTTCCTCTTGAAATCTTGTTACTTGGCGCAACCTGCTTCTGCACATTCCGGTTGCTCCAGACACTGCCTTTGGATAGCAAAGACATTGAGCCCAAAGCCAGCTGACCTATTTGTTGCTCAAGCACTTTCTCAATGCAGAAGCTTGCACATCAGTATCCGATCGAGGGTACAGCAAAATCCGTTCAGTATGGAGCCTCAGCCTCAAAAGCGGGTCGCGCGATGGTGGCCCACCAGATGTTGCAATCAGGGGGCGGCAAGGTTGAGACAAATGACGGGGGGTCCGAAGAACATCAGCGAAGGCCCTAAAGTTCAATGCAGGTTCATGGGCTTCAGCTTAAGTGAAGCTGCACAATGGCAGCCGGTCATTGCCCCATCTGAGCAGCCTTGAAGGGATTTCAGATATCAGCTCAGAGCGAAGCACACCCAGCCTTTTCAGCTTGGATCATTGCCTGCAGGCTGCCAAAGTCAAAGCAGCCCCAGCGCTCGGCTATGCACAGCAACAATCCTCCTCCAGAAGAGTCTTTGCATATTCCTTCTCCTGGGAAGGCTGGACTGCTTTGCTGGTCTGCCTCAAGAACAGGAATATCTTGCCTCCTCACCCAGCTCGTTTTCATACCTTCACTGGCTACACTGTATCTATTTACGATCTGCAGACCTCAGACTAATAGTCGAAGCCGATTTTCAGCGGGGGCAGATAAGGGGTCAGCGAAGCTGCAATGTTGGGAGCTCCCAACAGAACAGGACAGCGCCAATTGCTGATTTGTGCTGAAGTGTGGTACAGTGCGGGCCTGTTTAAGACAACATTGGTTCAGAAAATCAGTGCGCTGGATTTCCTAGGCATACGCATTTTCGCTGCCCGTTCTAGCCAAGAAAATGACTGCCCTCTGGCGTTTGGATCTTACTTTCTTAACTTTTCGCCTGCTGGTTTTTCTAGAAAAACAAACGAACACCCATTTGCTTTGTCACTGGAATGTCCTCTACGGATTGATTAAAAAGAAGGGGTTGCCTGAAGCCCAAGTAATTGAGAGAAGGCCCATCCCCCTGCTCCAAACCCACTCCCCAGGGATCCAAGTCCATCCGCAAATACTGTTAAGAAAACGAGTACTGATTTTCTTCAGGCTATTTGCCCATGCTGGTTCTACTTCCCGTTCTGGCCTGTCTTGCAAAAAGTTCCAGGGAACCAGTTCGTCAGCGTCAGAGGTATCAGAAACGATCTTCGTTTCAGACATTTTGGCACACGGTAGTACCACAAGGAGGTCATGGCCCCAATGCAAAGTGGAGGTACTGGCGTCTGCTCCGTGCAATGTTGGACCCCAGAAAGCCGAGGCAATAGCACCTGCTCCCGTCAATGCTACTGCACGCTAAGAAAGTGGCACTGGATTCTGAGAGCCACGTTCTCATGGTGGAGCAAGCTAAGAAAATGAGTGCCCTCTAAGCTCGCTGAATTGTTCTCTTACCCAATGCTCGCACTGTATACAATCAGCAGCATCGTTACTTGTAGGTGGTGGCAAAGCTCCCTTGCCATGTCATGAGGGCACCGCTCCAGGAACGCCATCACCCGCTCAAGCTCTGCGTCAAAGCTCCCTTGCAAGACTCAGAACCAGCGCCCTGCGGCCATGCTGTGGACTCAAGCGTCGAAGCCGCTCCGAACTGAGCTTCCGTCATCGCAGCCGTTGTCGCGTGCAATCCTCAGGCCAATGGCGGCTTAGCTGCACAGCTGGCTAGCATCAGAAGGCCAAGCTCCTTGCCAGAACGTCTGCAAGAGCAGCCTGTGCACAGTGCTGACAAACGCCGTCATGCTCTACGAGTATTATGAGTTGTGAGAGGCGAGCCTCAGCCGTGTCAAGATTGCTGCGGATGCCGCAAGCAAGAAACGCCTTGTGGAGCTCCTATCAGTCATGGCAAGAATCGCGATAGCTCGCGTTGCCAAAGGCTTTGAACTCCTCACAAAGTTCGGCAACTTCCTCTCCTGTCTTGGCCTGGCAGTGAAAGCATGGCACACAAACTCTCTCTACAACAATGCGCAACACAGGCTGCTAGCAAATGAGGCAAATTAGGACACACCAGAAGTCAATCTTCCAGCTGGCCCCCCCGCGTATAATTCTTTGTGGACTGCATGCAGGATTTTCTACTTGAGCTCCCGCGCACGACACAACTGAGAGAGCGGCTGGAGAGCTATTTGGGTTGTTTGAAAGGGCGCTGGAATCGTGAGCTCAAGCTAACCAAGGTTCTGATCCGCTGCTGCACGCCGCATTCCAAGCCCTGGTGCTTGAACTGCTCTGCAATTTGTGGGCGTCAAACGTGGCACAGGAGTACATACTCGTTCCTAATGCAATCTAATGCATTGTCATCATTTGGAGTGGTGTGTTTTGGTCCGATCCCTCTACTCTGTAGTAATTTGTCAGGGCCGTCCTGCAGGGCTTGGCGGCAAGAATCAAGGCAATCCGAGACGCCTGATCCTCTTCCAGATTGTATACAATTCCTGCATGCGCAGCCGCTTGGACATGGCGAACTGAGTCCAACGATGGTCTCCCAACACCAGAGGCACACTGGGCTCTCAAAGGGCATCTCCAATGCTCCGCGTCGAGGGCAGCTGCATGGGGAGCACCCTTGAGTTCAAAGTGATGCAGCTAAATGGTGCCAAGAGAAAGCACAGCTGCGATGAGCAGGCTTGCACAGCGCTCTGAAAATGAAATTCTTCCCTTGACTCAAAGTCCGTTAGAGTCGTCGCGAGCTTTACCCAAAACTACAGTACCAACCTCTCAACTAATGGCGCAGTGCAAATGCGCTCAGATAGCAAATCAACCTACCCATCTACCACTGCTTGCGTGGAACCTGTCCTGGCCAAGAAGCTAAAGACGCATGATAACAACGTAAACGTAAACCCATTCTTGTTGAACAAGACGTGAGCTGTGGCCTAAACCCTTTGA